AGCCTAGTTAATTGCTGGTAATGGCTATGAATAATGACAGTAGAGACTACTGAATGACGTAGGTGAGAGGATATCCTCTCTCTAAGTCGTAATTGCTTTAAATGAGCAGTTCAGTCAATTTGAACTTATTTAGGACAGTCTGTACTGCCCCTTCCAGGGCACCATAAACATTTGACTAAAGCTGTCAGTGAGAATCTTCCATGCGTTCTGCGTCCTACAAATGGTGGCAGAAGGGTGGTGGAAGGAAGGAGAGAACAGGTTTAATGCATTGCTCTCCTTTCTTCAACCATGCCTGTTCACCCCGGGAGCATTCTGTACACACACATCCACACAAACATGGGTTTGCCTGGTGCTCTACAGCCTAATTATTGATTTTTTCAGGAATACATTAATTATGTAAATAGCATCTAAAAAGGGGAAATGCTCCTTTAGCAGACCGATTCAGCTTCCACTACAGCCACCTTAAGTGTCCTGTAAGTCACTCCACAGCTGGAACTATCTATGTAAAATGCCTGGAAGTCAACAGGAACAAGTTATGGCTGATGCATAGCAGAATGAATGAGCACTAAGTCACAAAGAAAGGGACCACCAAACTAAATATATTTGGATTTCATCTACCTCACATTAGCCTGTTTGAAGAATGTTTATTGTGACACACATTCACTTTGTCTATACTTGTCACATATAATTCCCAGTAGCTTCCAGTCTGGGATTATTTTCTTCACTGAGGTCCTCAAGACACCATTCAGTTTGATCTCTACACTTGCAAACACTCATCACCCAAATATCCAAAATATTTATGACGTACTTGGGCCACCCTTATTTCAAATGGCAAGTAAGTGTATCAGGAATAACGCTTAACGTGAGCTGGAAGCATTTATTTCTAATGCAATACATGAAGAAGATCCCTGTCTGCATGACGCCACAAAAGAGCAAGTCAAGGGAACAAACAATGAACAAACACACACATCCCCCTGTTGACGTCCCAAAGCAGCAGACGAAACAACAGCTCCTATTCCTAACGCCCTTACTTCAAGGTTCTTACTCAGGGCTGTGAGCCATAGAACCAGCAAACAAGGGTCAGAATAGAACCATGCTGAAAATGGGGTCCTTCCCCCTTCTCAACATCCTCTTCTCATGTACACAGCCTGGTTATTTTCACTACAAGCTCCATTACATCCCTTAAATGAGAAGAACAACCCACTCCTTCATAGCTATGCTTGTGTGAACCAATACTACAAGACCCTCAAACCCTTGGTCCCTCTGGCTGACTGTAGGGAGGGAAAAAACGTCAGAAAATGTCAAGACTGAACCTAGCCTCTCTGGGTCTGAGGCAGCTGCCCACCAGATGTAAAACCCTGAGAGCTCCAGTGGACTCAAATCTTCCTGCCACCATGGATTTTCAAAGGTCTTTTGGAACGTATTTCTTAAGGGAACACAGACGCTTACCAGCACAGAACAGCTGCGCCACTTAGAAAATTTACCCCTCTGTTTCACACTGGTTATACTTCCCTAGGACATGTGCTGGCTGTACGCACTTTTGTAAGCCACTAAGCTCCCTAAAAGCAGTGGATCAGGATTGTGTAGAGAACAGTACTAAATCGGTTTGTCTCTGCTGATCAGTACAAAAGAAGGGCCGGGTAGGGAGATTTTGCCAAGTTTCATAAAATTATGCCCACAAAAGGAGGGGTAAATACTGCTCTACTAACAGCAGGAGACCACAGTCACACCATTCTTTTCAGAGAAACTGAATAGACATTCAACCAGAACAGACTCATTACAATTGGTGGAACCATTTTAATCCCATCCGTCCCCTCCAGGATGTACTCTTTGCTGCTCCAAAACAGGCAGAAGGATTTATTTTTTTTTTTTTTTTTTTTTTTTTTTTTTTTTTTTTTTTTTTTTTTTTTTTTTTTTTTTTTTTAGCTCTAACTGCTACCCGAGGAATGAGATACACCAAGGCAATTCTGCCCCAGGGAGAGCCAGGTGCTTTGCTTTGCTGCTTGTCTCACAAAAGTTGTACCCTGCAATAGAGGACATTTGTATTGGATTAATGTAATCAAAGGCACCCTGCTGTCTGGTCACTGACCTATCTGTAAACAACAGATGACATGATGCCATGAGCTTCTATTATATATAATTACCTATTGAGATGTGACCCCTGTAAAAGAAACAAAACCATATACTCCACCTGCTGCTGTTGGTCTATTTTCCAGAGAGGAACAAAGCCTATAAGCGCCTCTTCTCCTCATCTCCCTTCACTGCTCCTCATATCTCCTCCAAATAAGTTTGTGTGCTCTCCCTTACACCTGGAACAATCTTCCCAGCCGCACTGGCGTGGTCCAACCCTTCTCTGTTCTTGCTTTAGATCTCTCTTATATCCTTCTCCTTTCATTCAACCTTTTTATGTCACAGCTTCTTCTCCCCTGCCTGCACCAAGATGAAAGATGTCTCCTACCTGAGTGTATCTTACCTGCCCTGGATTGTACTCACTGCGATAGAGACCATAGGGACAGATTCCCACCTGATGGAAATCAGTGCAGGTCCGTTGGGGTGATACACAACCATGAATCACAGAGAAGATGGTGAATAAGGAACACTGTTCTCTGATTTCCAATACAAGAGTAAGATCAGACAGAACCTGCTACCTGCTAGCTCAAAAACAACAGGAAGCAGCTTTCACACCCTGCATGGTCCAGCTGTGGAGCTCCTTGCCCCAGGACACTGCAAATGGAGCAACTGGACACCTTCCTGAAAGAACAACAAAAAGCCACTGGGAGTCATGAAATACAAAGAACCCTCCTCAGGTTCAGACACTCCCTGAGCCTTAAATCGTTAAAAACTGGGAAAGTATTCTGGGAATACCACTGCTTTCTTGTACTCTTCCCTGAGCACTCCCTGCAACCTGCTTTAGGGGACAGCACAGCAGGATAGATGGAGCTGTCGTCTGACCCGGTGAAGGAGGTCTTTATTGACACTGGTTCCCACCAGCTGAAGACACAGCATCACGTCTCACGTGGATGTCTGTATACGCACATGACAACAGTCCATGTTTGCAATACTCTATAGGCGTAACAGCAGGGGAAGTAACGTCTACAGAGTATTTGGTGCTCGCTAGCAATTGGCTTTCATAGTCCAGTGAACTACAACTGCAGCTGCTGCTACAAGTCAGTAGCTAATACGCATTTATCTCTATTGTTCATCAGTAGCTCAGAAGCTACTGGGACATGATATTCATGCAGGTATTAAAAAAAAAGTTTTCATTACAATATCTACCAATGAAACAGAAGCCAACTGACACTGCCAATGACAAGCTGCTTATTTGTCTTGGCTTTGTTTCGATTATCAAACTGAACGTCTATATTGCCAAAATAGACAAAAACTGCTTTGCCTTTTTCTTCTAATTTTTGTCAGAAGTCTGATGCAAGTCCCCTACAGAAGAAGGATGACCGAGTTACATTAGCATCACCCTTTCTGCTTTATGCACAAATGCACTCATGAACACCTATATACACCAAGACTGAAATATACACAGGTTTAGTTAAACATTATGAGTTATTGCTTTGTGTCTGAACAGCTTAGATTGTATAATACTGCAGCAGCAAACTCTTGTATTAATCATGGAAGAACAGCTCACATACAAATAAAAGTATTTGATGTCATCATCTCGATCTTGATCTAAACACAACTAGGCAACAGAAGCTTACAGTGGACTGGCTTTTGCTAGATAGAGTTCAGTGTTTATACAAGGAATCTTCTTTTAGATAGCAATTTTTTTCTACTTCCAAAGAGTTACCTGCTTTGAAAACATTTTAGACAACGTGAACAAAAGCTTATTGTCCGAGATATTATATAGGAAAAAGCATTAAAGAAAAAAGCCAACATTTCAGAATGTGTGATTGTAGACTCTATTTTGAAAAGCCCTCATGAAGAACAGTCAGTTACTGGAAATATTTTTAAAGTAATTTAATTACAGATTGCCAGGACTGTTTCCACTCCTTATCTTGTCTGAATCAACCAAGCTCCAGTTCTTCCAAGATCAACCAATACCAGCAGATATTTGGTCTTGTACACCACATGCGAGTGACTGTTTGTTTCAGACATCTTCTCTGGCTGTCCCTTAGGAGTCGCTGGGAATAAGCAATGAATTGAGACGATAGTAAAACGATGCATTTAGCTACCTGAATTCTTTTGTGAATGAACAGGGGTCTGATCAATTCCTACTTACCTCAGCACACTTCTGGTTTCAGAACTGACTTTGGGGGTTTCATCACTGCCTAGCAGAGAACGTTAATGCTTTCATTAATGCTGAATGCAAAGACTGGGAAGAGATATTTGAAGAGATGCAAACAAGAAGGAACAGATTATTATCAAGCGCTGCTGACAGGAAGCCATTGGTACTGGAGATGGCGAGGCTGAATTGATCAGACAGCTAGTGTTTGAGAGAGAGCATCTCATTAAACAGTGAAAACACACAGGACCCAGCAGCTGTGGATTGGCAGCGCTGAGTGACTCAGGCTATCGAACAATCCTGACTTGAACCTGTTGAGGATCTTGGCCCAGCATTTCCTTTTGAGTATTAATCCGACTTAGAAACGTGTCAATAATCCTCTCCACTGCTGCCTGGCAGCTGGATAAACAGCGGTGAGAGCCCCATCTAAGTGCTCACAGGTTAATAGCTGTAGCAGATAGACGAGACTTTGATGCTGCTTGCTACAGACTCCGGCTGCCTGAATTACACATGCCAAGCCCCACGCCCTGGAAATCCTTCCTCGGAGCCGGCAGCTGCACGGATGCAGCCACAGGGGCTACGGCAGGCTCTGACACGTTTTTTCCCGTTTCACCCCCTCCCCCCCCCCCC